TTCACTACTCATGCACATATAATTAAAGGAATAGTTTAACCATTATGCCGCTAGTTATGTTTTGGATGTTTAATTCTGAAATGATGAACTGAAAATCGTAAAAAATGTAGATAAATAATAATGTATATTATTTATTATTGAAGATTGATTTGAGCAATTTGATTCTATTAGCTCCTTATGCTATCAAAGCTTTCTATTTTTGAAAATACAGAATAAGAATATTTAATCATGTTTGCAGAGGATTAATATATACTTGTATCAGAATATTTTTAAGAGGAATACTTATATATATATATATATCAATTAGGAATTCGCAACAGATAAAATGTAGATAATTCATTATGAAACATAATTACATAAAAATTTAATTAATAATTATTTGAAAACAAGAATTGCGAGTTGTAGTTTGAAACAATAACTTCGTGTTCTTATTTGTATTTACTATTCTTTGTACTTATTTTCCAGTTTTTCCTTATTAGGAGATTTTGTATTTTTTCCTCGTCTACGTGTACTTATTTAATATTTTCTACGTACATAATTGTTGAAAAAAGTATTTAAGGTGAGCTACCTCAGCGTTCTGTCGCGCTTGTAAAATGGTTAAAATGGTTTATCAACACTTGTCGTACATCGAAACTCATAAATACCGACAAGATTTAATTTGTTAAGCATTAATATTTTTCAAATAGCATAACAAACAATTATTGTTTCAATACAAATTATTAGAATACGAATTTTAAAAAAATTACATCAATCCACGTGTCATACGAAAACTAGCATTATCTTTTCCTTTAAGTCTCTCACGCTCGTTCGCTATATATATATCTCATCATTCTCAATAATAATACTCCCAAATCGGTAAAGTAGGTATTTTGCCGACGCAAGATTTATCTTCAATACGTATATGTCTGCCAGTTGCCAATTGTCAAAACTGAAACAATCGTGAATTAAAGGTTAAGATCGTTTTTGGTTATTTTTACTTGAAAATAAATATTACGCACACATAATATACATCGATGTTAGCTCAAAAAACTAAATCAAGTTATCGCTTATCATATTTCTCATTCATAGCTGGATGGAAAGCTGAATTGCTTCAAACGTGAGACCATGCAATGAATTTAAAGATTAAATTTCCTGATAAAATTTTTGTATCTCTATTTTCTCATAAAAGAAATATAAATATTTGGTGTATACTGTTACTTGAATTCCAACATCTGACACGTTTTTAATCGAATAAAAAACGAAAAATGAATAAATTTTTATGTTAATTTTTACAAGTTATTGAGTTGAATACAACTGTTCATAAATAAATTATTAAATATAACATTACACAATTTAAGCTTTTCAAACTTCTGCGTTTTTGGTTTTTTATTGATTTTCGTATAGTAATATTAAAATTACGATTAACAATTATTAATATAAAAAAAATTTATCGGTTATATTTTAAACATTTTACAATTATTGTTTGAATCCACAAAACAGATTGTTCGAAATTGTAAAAATGACAGATAACGCTATAGTGAAACAAGAAATCGAAATAAAAGACGAAATATCCGAGGATTTCTCGAGAAATACTGATCCAAGTATGCAAAATTTTTCATTAGCATCAATTTACTCTTCTTTCAATAGACAGAATTAGAACATAATATTATAACTCAAAACAATGCAAAAAGCATTTTAGGTAGATGTTCAATCTAATCATAACAATTTCCAAATTAAAAGTATATGTTTTTTAAATAATGAAAAATTTTCCAGGAATTGATAATAAAATCAAAGAAACTTTTTCGTCCGAGACGGTAGAAATAAAAAATTTAGTTGTTTTTAAAAAATTATTCCCAGAACCGTCAATACAAATGAATGTAAACAATGCAAACATTGTTGTAGGTAGATATACTGTAATTGTTTTAATTATTTCAAAATATACTAACTCATCTATCTTATATTTTTTTAAACTTTCTTTCGCAGAGTGTAATGAATGTAGTAAATTTATTTTTAATAAAAACTTGAAAACACATTTAAAAATGTGTTTACTGCCCGTCGAATATAAAAGTCGCTCGCTGGTAATGAAAGACAAACAATGGTTAACGAAACGTAATAAACAAGTTAGCATACATTCAAAAGGTGCAGTTATAAACGGTAAAAAAATATTTTTATAGATACGGTGGGTTAACATAACACTACATCGCAATAATTATGTAAAAATAGTAAATTTTCTATTTATATGTAAATGGCAACATATCCAATATGGTTTTAATTTTTTTAACAAATTTATTTTTACAAAATCTAATTTATGACTATTTAAATAAATACATATATTATCGAATTATATATTATGTATTATCTGCATAATGTAAATCTAGTGCCGCAAGATCTTGAAATTATTTTTGTTTGTAACTTATGATTCTCTACAATTCATTAATTTTATTAATATTTACTATTTTTATAAGCAATATTGACGGAAGTATGGTATATTCATACATGGTGATAAATGAACAAAGCTTTCGTATTATCAACACATATAAATATTAAAATATCGATGGTAACAAACACAATTAATGAATATGCATAAGTATATTTACTATAACATTTTAATAAATATACTATTATTATTATGCAGATAAATTTATACAGTAATGTTCAAACTGTTACTTAATAGTGAAACCAAATTCACCGAATAGCAATTGTACATCGTGCGGAACCATGTGTTTTTGGAAATGCAAACAATGCAGCAAAACTTTCCATTTTTACAATTCATTGGTGTTTCATTTAAAAGCTCAGTGTGAATTTAGATCGAAATATTTTGACAATTCACATAAGCATATGATATCACACTTACAGTTGGGATCAACGATCGATTTGAACGGTGTAAAACAGAAAAAGTCCATAAAGATATAAACGGCATTAAACTCCAAGTACATTATGTTCAATATGTGTCTTAACGTTTGAAACGTTTCATCAATTAAACGAGCATATAATAAGTTGTCAACAACCTGTTATTTCTAAATCAGTTAATACGAATGCCTGTATGTAAATTTTTAGTAATATTTTGTTTATACATTTTATGAAGCGTTTCAATTAGTATTTGAATATACTTACAGCTTTAGACTTTTACCTTCACAAAGATCAACCTCCGCAAATTACCTGTTAGTATTTCGTCACTATTGATCTAAAACAAAATTGATATAATTTTTTACATTTTCGTTGTAGATTGTAACCGAAAAATTACACGGTACTGTGAAAAAATGTAACAGAGATATTCTACGAGATCGGCAGTTTTATTGTCATCAATGCAGCAACTGCAAAACAACTCTAAGATTTAAATGCACGATGTGTAATAAATTATTTTATCAATATAGTTATGCTCTTCAACATTTAAATACAATATGTAAGCCTTAAGAAATTATTCAATGTAACAGCTGTAATTTCAAAGCTACTACTAAATCTCAAATATCACGGCATTATAAAGAAATTCATGGTAATATTTATACTTCATTATTTTTCTTATTTTGCTTTCATTGTTTTCATACTTTGTAACTTACTTTATAAAAAAAATTTTCAATATGCCCATTCCCCTTACGAAGGAATAGTTAAATACAGTATTGAATAGTTAAATACAGTAAATCAATATCAATAAAGAATCTGCTATCAATTTAAAGCATAAGCTCAAAGGTACGTGTTATAAGTCTACAAAAAGCAATTAGCATAACATAAATTTATGAACAATGAAATTTCATTTACTATAATTCAATAAATTTTTATAATCAGTTGCTCAGATGAGAGTACATCATTTCTGCTTTATGTGCAATAAGCGAAAATCGTCCCCTTATCAATTAAAAGATTGTGGAATATGTAAGAATACCATGCATCTCTGGTGTGTAATTTGCGACAAAGCATTTGCAATTGATAATCTGAAAGCTTGCGAGCATATTAAAGTTTATTTAGATACATTTACATTCGAGTGTGCAAACTGTGGCAGATCTTTTAACAGTGCAGATAAACTAACATTTCATGATGCTCATTGTCCTAAGAAAACGATAAATTACAGTTGTAGTTATTGTACGAGTATTTTTTGCAATGAACAAAAATTATTAAGACATGAACAGAGAAAGCATTCAATAATTTCAAATCAACAAATAGCATTAACTTCAAAAAATAGAGGTTTGCACAAAATAAATAATTTCACACGAAGAGATCTTTAGTCTGAGAAAAGTCGTAGGAACGAACGTGATTTGAAAAGAAATGTATTATCCTCTGCCAGAAAATGTAAAAACAAATCCATGTTTTCATGTAGGTATGAAAGAGGAACTTTTAATTAACTTTGCTCCTGAAGTCCTTTACAAAATTTGAAATTTGATATTTGAATTTAATTTTTTTCAGCATACACCCAAAATGCAATACAAAGTTTATTAAAAACTCAAATTATTTAATTCATTTGAAATATTGTGAATCAAAACTGCATATGATGTGTACACTTTTATTTACATGATTAAAAATAGAAAAATAGCGACGTATATTATAAATCATAACTTCTATAAGGTATTGACGTTTTTAGAATCTAAATATATCGTTTTTTATATTGAATAGAGTGATTATACTTCATGTTTTTACTACTTATATATGATAAAAATAAAAATTTTCCATCATGCGTATACATATTTTCCAGTAAATTTATTGTAATCGATAATAGAAAATCAAATCAATATATTCAAGCGAAATTATTAGAGCACAAAAATAAATAGGAAATAAATATATTTTTCAACTTTTATTTTAACAGACATTCAATGCATTAATTGTGAATCTTAGGAAGTCAGTAAAAATTTATTTATATCTTTCCGATAAGCTATAAACACATACGGTAAATTCAAAATTAATTCGCCAATTTTCGCGCCTCTACGTTTTTTCCTCTTTATATATATATATATATATATATATATCCTTTCCTTTTCCGACATCTCGCGGCTTAATTTCGCAATTCGCAATTCGCACAGCTGATTATAGAAACATCAGAGCAACCAGGTCTTAGAACCCCAGGATTATTTTCAAGAAATAGGAATTATATTTTAGAATATTAAATATTATAAGATAATATATCAATGTTCGACATTATAACTATCCTATTCGTTTGATTCTGATGATAGGATCAGAAAAACGTTTCTTCCATTTATTTATTGCGTAAGCAAAAAAATTGTGAATAAAAAAGTATTTTATATCTCATAAATTCAATATTGAATTATAAAAGTCTTCATTAATAATAGTTGTTAATGTATTATACATCGTGATTCGTTAACATGCACTGCAACATTCGTAAAGCTTTCAGTTAACTTTTTTGCACAAATATGGAACGAACTTTAAGTTTCAAAGCAGAACCAATTGATCAAGAGGAAATAGAGGAAATCTTACCAGATTTACCAGAACCATCAATTCATGTGAAATCAGACTGTTTTGAGATAAAACCACAATGTAATCCTGGTAAAACTTACATTTTCACAGTAATATTTAAAAGGATAAAATTCAATATTTGCACTTTTAATTATTGTTTTAAATCTTGCAGAAATCAAAATAAACAACTCCAGTATTTTTCTCAATAAGACTTTAATCAATTTAAATGGTATTCTTTATTTTCTTGAAAGAATTCCAGAAACTGTGGTACAAAAATCGCAAACCAAACATTTTGTATCTCAAGTTAAGAAGAAAAAATTGGACAAATCAGGTATTTTCCCTAAATTAAATAATAACATTTATTCAGTTAATAAAATGAACATTTACAGAACCATGTCCAAAGTGTGGAAAAATATTGAAACGACGTAGTTTAAAACTTCACATGCAAACATGTTACTATGGTTTTACTTACGATTGCAGCCTGAAATGTAGCAAATGTAATTATCAAACTATGAGTGGACATTATTGGTTACTACATAAGAGACAATGTGGGAAAACAAAACCAAAACCAATTAAAACAAAATGCAATGGTGAAAAAAGTAATCATTATATGACAGATATTATGTGAATGGCATGGCATGGCATGTTGAAAATAATAAAAAACTATAGGACTTGTGATTGAAAGTTTTAAACTTATAATTGTAGTTTATAAAGAGTACTTTAAGATAAAAAAAATTTCGTGACGATATCTGTATTATTAGAAGAAATTTTACAGTGTGATTAAAAAAAAATTAAAATGCGATCATTATTAATTCCGGTTGGTCCTCTGCGTAAAAAATGTGTACATTTATTAATTTCATATAACATTTTAGGCTACACACAGTCGATTACTCATCACTGTGAAATTTGCAATATTGATTTTAAATTAGACAACGCTGATGTTAGTGTAAAAAAATCCTGTATTAATTGCTCGTCTACTTTGACATATAAATGCAAGAAATGTGGTGAACTTTGTTTATTTTACGAATCATTAGTAATTCATGTGAAGACCATTTGCAATCAAGAAAAATATTTTAAATGTTTTCAATGTGATTTGGTGACGTATTCTATGAGCCAATTAAATGAACATAATAAAACACTTCATAGTGATATATCTGCAAGTGGGTAATTTCTAAATGGATTTTTATTTGATAACTATTATGTAAATATTAATTTAAAAAGCATATTATTTTCAGTGTGTAAAAATTGTGAATCATTTTTTAAGAGTTCAATACATCTGAAAAAACATGAAAAGCAATGTAGTTCAGTTTATAAATCACTACAGAATGATATGTGCCCTTACCCAAATCATAATACTTCAGCTGTAGTTCATCAATTTTCAAGTAGGTGTTGTTGAAACATATCAGCTACTTCCAGGTTTAATAAATTTAAAAATAAAAACTATTTTATAAAATTTTGGGATCATTGTATTATGAAAAAGGCACTATCAAGGAAAGTAATAATTATAAATTTCATGAAGACACAAGCTCAATTTACAATGCAAAGTTGTTCTCACGAAACTAGATATAAAATATTTTTGAGACTACTTTAGAAGAGATGCATTTAGTACAACTAGTAATATTATTAAATTGTAAACTATTTGTTATTATTAATTTACAAAATAATTCTAAAAACACTTCATCTTATTATAATTAAATAAATTTTTAGAATTAATTGGTAAAGTTAACTTTATTCTGTATTTGTTTATTATTTCGATCTTTATAGAAACCACCTAATAAATAAATAGTACTACTACTAATCTAAATTAAATTTATAATTATACTTATCAAAAAATGCCATAAATGTATTATATTTCTTATATTTCGAAATAAATAATAATTAATAATAAATGCTTAATTCTTTCAACCACGTCAGTTATTGAGTATATATCTATCAAGTATACTCTACTATTTTTTGAAACTTTTCTTTCTCATCTCTGTATACTTCAGTAATTGTAAAAATGCCATACCTAATTCAATTACTTCTAGTTAACTTCACCAAAAAATTATTATCGCCCATCTTTTAAAATAAAATATATTATACAATTTAATTACACATTAGTATAATTGAGATCCACTACAGCTGTTATAGAAAAATTATCCAAATTACAGGTTTGCGAAGGCATTCAATTATGTGATCTATTCTTTGCAATGTTTGTTTAGTATAGTGACTTTTCAAGAGATATGATAACGTCCGTTTTAAGAAAACAAGTTAAAATAGTGAAAATAATAATTTTGCTCTTATAGGAAAATCGATTTAATTTTTGAGAGTTTTACCTACATGGAAGAAACTATTTTAACGATTCGACTCTTAATTTTACATTCTGTTTTGAACGTTATTTGTCCAATTTTCATAAAATGTACCGAGAAAATTGAAAAAATAATTTTTTGTTTGTTACCAAAAACGAAATAATTACAATAATATTGCATGAACAATGGCATACGCTATGCAGTAAAGTTATGTATAAATAGATATTAAAAATGCATGAAATCACTGCATTTCAGATATCAGATATGCATGCAAATACTTTCAAGTCGAACACGACGCGCAGCTTGCGAACATGTCAAATAAACTTTTTTAATCAAATTGTATATTGAGCGACATAATTTGTCTAAAATAGGATTATATCAATGCCGTTAAAAGTTGTTAGTGATAGTTTCTCCTATCTTTAATACCATAATTCAGGTAAAAGATATAAGTAATTTTGAGTATATTTACATTTTTTAATTAATATAGACTATTGTCCCACAGTGTATATCGTTTATAAATTTCCAGCATGTATACAAAGTGCAATTCGGATTTAAAAAGTATATCTGGGCTACGTCAACATCTTGCATATCGAGAAAAAAAGCTCACACATAAAAACATACAGTGTAAACTTATTCGCATAATGATAAATCACGTACGTAATCCTGTGATTAAAGGTTTTTCACGCGCTGATTCAAGAAATAAAAGAGTAGAAAACAATGAACAAATTATGATTACTATTATAGAGAACGTATCATCGAATAGAATATAAAAATAGAAAGCAATTCCCTTAAAAGCGAATATCAAACATCATAAAAACGTCGTGTGTGACTGAAAACGTACTTCCAGTTTCTTGGGTCTTGAGAAAACATTGATCTGACACGTGGCATAATGTCATAACGAAAATTGATCAATAGAAGGAAGATGATATTTGCAAAAGTTTTCTTTGATTATTTTAAAATTTTCTGTGTTGCTACATTGACGTACAACAAACGGATCGACAAATAAGCCACATCGATGCACGCTCCACAAAAGTTCCAGAGATAAAAATTGAGTTATTAGATGACGAATCGCGGTAACCATCAGACCAAATTTCATGTCAAGAAACGAACGCGAAAAAATGAGAAAGTAGATAAAGGAGTTTCAGGATAATGGAATAACCCGAGAAAGCAATCTTCTAGTCACGCTAGTCCATGCCATCTTAGTCAGTAAATAAATCGGCGAAGATTGTCTACTTGACGATTTTCGAGGTATTCAATAAGAAAACCAAACGAGTAAAATATCCAATGCAAATAGCTAACGTCCTAATTTATAAACTTGGTGGGAAAACCTTTTATTTTTCGCTAAACTTGAAAAGCGGATTTTATTGAGATGTTTAGCTTTTTGAAATAATTAATGGAAGGGAGTAACTAATGAACTTTAATTAGTTTTGTGACGGACATGATGCATGCGCAATGTTGTTGCGCAACGTCCAAGTACGCATGGACATCATCACATATAATAAACAAGGCTCCTACTCTGGTCTATACATCATTGCATTTTGATCAGGGCAGCTAGGGATATTCAACAGACCTGGTTAAATGTCTCAGGAACTTAATCAAGTCTAAATTCCAATCTAACTAAAATTTTCTGTCCTGAATGCGATGCGAGAATATTAATTATTTAGGTTAATTAGCTCGCCAAGTCGTACACGTGCGTGTGACTACGCGTAAAATGTTTTGTAAAGCATTAGCATTTAGGATAAAGTGTAAAATTTTAATTAGTTATTAATTAAGCATAATAAAGGAACAATGCTTTCTCAAAGTCAAAATGCACAGACGTGTGTTGTTTGTGGTGGCAACAATTTTTTCAAGGAGGATGGATACTTTTTTTGTAGCAAATGTCAAACTCAGAATGAAGTAAGTTCATTACTTTTGAGTTATACATTAAATGGTTTAGAATATTATAATGTTCTTTTAGGAAATAAGAGAAGAAATACACGATACCAAATATGACCCTACAACCAGACTCCGAAAAACTAGAGTCAAAAATAAAAAGTTAAACGATAATAATGGTAAATAAGTTTTATTCAAAGTCTATGTATTATGATATTAATGTTTTGATAAAATAATTTTAATATTACAGATGTTATTGGCTGGACAAGTTGGGAACTGTATAATCTTGTACTTATTGGATTAATTAATGAGTTAATAGAAATTGGTGCAGATCCTAAAATAAAATTAACAGTTTTACAATTATGGACATATTATTTATCAAAATTAGAAGTATCATTTACTTCTAAAACTAAAAAATGTATACCTAGGATGGCTCGAAGGTTTCATAAAAAGTAAGTTAAACAATTTATTTAATTACTTTAACCAATAGCTATGTATTACAATAAGAATTCTTTTGAAGGGATGCTGATATAATTTATGGTAAAATTCAGCAGAGAAAAAGGAAACGTAAACAAAATAAAAGCAACACCAGTGCATCTTCAATGAATTCTATTTTTAAAAGTGATGGAAGTACGTCAGTGAGAGAATTAAATAAAAATAAGGTAAGTTCAAATGATATGGTTTTTCAAATATCAATTAATAATAAATAATCATTTTTTTTATTTTCAGAAATTATTAGCAGCTGCAGAGTATGATAATTATGTACAAAGCCAAGCTAGTTCAGATAATGATGGAATGAGTTCCTTAAATCAAAGTTTGATGAGCCTCAAATCAAGTATTAGCCAATCTTCTAGTACAGCTATTAGGTAGTAGTTTATTTCATTCACTTATGGCAATTTTTGATAATTTAATGATAATTTTTAGAATAAAATATACCAAGAAAGCTAAATCTGAGGCAAAGAAAATCAAAGTATTATCAATGAAACTACCTCGCCAAAAAAGAATGGAGTATAGAAGGACTCATGTCACTACACAGTATGCCATAGGACCAGACATTATCACTCCAATGAAACTATGGTCTATGATTTACTTAGCCCTACGAATAAACTGTCAGGAAATTCATCTTGCTGATATGTTAAGGTATAATGCTTCATTTGTGACTCCTTAAAAAATTCTTTTTAACAACCAATTATTTTAATAAACGTTAATTTACAGATTTAGTAAAGAAGGTCATCTTTCATATTACAAACTAGATCATTTGTTACCACCAGAAGTTGCACTCACTAAAACTGATGTACATCTTTTAACACAAAATAGTGATATAACACATAAGGGTATGCGTAGAACTATCGCCAGTTTGGCTAAATTTTTGAATGTCAAAGAATTTCCCACACCTAATTTGTTGGGTTTGATTGAAAGATATTGTGAAGACTTAACATTGCCAAGTACAACAATTTCACATTTTAAAAGTACTTACTTTTGTTATAGTAGACATTACAAGATCTTTTATCTGTTTCAGAAGGTATTATGTTATATGTTACAAGAGTATTTTTATCTTCTCCAAGTCAGATGAGGTTCACACACAAATCTTCATTATTTCCAAATTATGAAGGCAGAGCAATGGCTTACATCATAGTGGTATTGAAAGTTCTGTTTGGTTTGGATGACATTACAGAAAAAGAAATTAGCCATGTAACTGATAAAATAAACAGGTAAAATGTTATATTTACTTTCAATAAATGTTATGGATTTCCAAATGATTATTTAATCTAAATGTAACTTTCTTAATTTACAGGGTGGCGAATGAAAAAGAAATATTGACTTCAAGGCTATTTAGTTTTTGTGAATGGCAAAATTACATTGAATGTCGAAAAACTGTTCTAGTCAATCTGCATTATCCATCAAAGATAAAATATGATCCAGAGCGTGTAGGAACATCCCACTTATACCTCAGGTTTATGGGATTAATGAAGTCAAAAAGAGATGCTGAGCCTCCTGAAATTTTAAATTTCAAGCACGTTTTGCCACAAAGCCTTGTTGATGCATTTTATCAGAGTATGGATAAACTTAATGATACTACAATACCATTAAGAGAAATGGAAGTATTTGCTCCTTCTTTCACACCACTGCGATCTTACATTGCTCAATTATTAGATAATCCACATTATGATATACCAAGAATTTTAAGGATTAACTTTCAAGAGACAAAAGTTGGTTTTATGACAAAGCCATATATGTAAGTTTAAAATTTACTCAAGGAATAAAACTTTCTATTACAACGTATTGTCATTAAAATATTTTACACTTTTCTAGGTTGACTGAATTGGCTTCACAATGTGGTATAGAACTTAATATTGTTGATAGAAGTTTACAGTATTTGGAAAAAATTGTTCCTCCTTTTGAACAACCAAGAATGCCAAGTTTGAAGACATTGAGTGAGCTGGTAGAAGTAGAAAATTCCAGCTTAAATATAGAAACTAAGCTACCAAAAAGTGAAAGTTTGTTAGATTATAGTCATAAAACTCGTCCATGTAAAATGAAAATAAATTTTGAAAATTTAAAACAACTCAATACAGTGAGGCATAAAGTACCTGAACTTGATGAAACATTTAATTTAGAAGAGGATAGTGGTTTTGATCAAATTTTACCAGATGGAAGGCTGAAAATTTTTGAAAACAGCGATTCAGATAATGAAGTTAGTGAAGTTGAATTAGAAGCACATGAATTTAACTGGACTGATACTAGTTGTTTGCTGAAGCCAGAGTTTTCCGTGAAGTATAATATTAAATTGTATAATCATGAAATAGATTCAATATTAAATGCTAAAACCATTTTGAAAGACAAGTACATTCCAGTAAGAGACAAGACAGGTAAATTTGTAAAAGTTGCATCTAGAAATTTAAGGAGGAACCAAAAGAGTTTTTCAAAGACAGAAACTGAACAAGCAGAAGAATCAAGCGAAGATGAAAACAAAGTGCCTAAACGTCGCGCTAAAAGAAAAAAATCCAAAGATATCAGTCAAAATATTGTTGAAGATGATTTAACACAAAATCCTATTGATTGTTTAGATTTAGCTGACTCAGATATTTCAATTTTACAAGATGATAACTATGAAAATAAAAATCTAGAAAATGCGCCGATGAACGATACTGAAACGCTTTTCAGACCATATAAAAACTATTGGATGTATCATGGCATTTTTAGTAGGGTTAAGAATAAAAATTTTGAACTATTTGAAAGAGAGTTACCAGAGAACTTTTTATGGCTTTTAAATGAGTGTGCTAGTATTGTTGAAATGACGACTGAAGATTTATACGAGGAAGTCTGTTTAATTGAAGCCTACCATTTCAATATACTAAAGTCAAAAGAATCTAAAGACGATATAGATTATGAATTTTATGACTGCAAGTCGAAATCATACTCAAACAATATTCTAAACAAATGGTGATAATGTGATTCATATATTTTCTTTTGTAATACTTAAGTATTCAATGTGAGAAAGTGTACAAAGCCTATTTTTATTTTTGTCAACGCTTGTCTAGTATATAAATTAAATTATTTGTTATGTTTTTTTAATAAACTTCGTTTTATTTATTGATTCGAGATAGTGCTTGGTTTCAGAGCACAATCTTGAAATTTTTGTATTTAAAAACTCACAACATGCATCTAAGGATTCCATCCACATTGGCAATCGATAGAGCAAGAAAAAATAAGCTGACATAGTCATTTTCGAACTTTTTCCGCGGTTTTTCAGCAAGATAATCGATTTTGAATTTGCTCTCCTCTCGACGAGTCCTATAAAAAATAATTTTTAGAGCGCCAAACGCAATCTCATAGCCTCTCTCATTTGTGCATGTTCGAATTTCTATTTATAGCTTCATAATTTTTTCTTTTATTACCAAAAAGTACGAAAAAAAATGCTGCATGCAGTGTTTAAGGACAATATTCATTATTCATAATCGTGAATGTGATTGTTAATTTTTTTAATAAAAATATTTTTTAACTAAATTTCTCGCCAAAACCAGATGTCAAATAAATAAATATTATTGTTTTTGTATTAGGATACTATGAATAAGAACTGTAAAATATGGCCTTATAACAAAATCCGATATAGTAATTTATTTTAAAGGTAAAAACATTGTTCACGTTTGTTCATAATCGAAAAGTGGTAACATTTTTTTATTATAAATTGAAAAATGTGTCAATCAATGAAGGGAAAAGAAAGCCAGTAAATACAAATAAATTTACTCCTTATTTTTCCAGCAACGTTTCATCAACAATTTCGCTTACCATCAGACTGGTCTATTAATATCGCGCTATGTGTAGGCTAAAGAATGTTTTTCATTGTTAGTCGAAACTGAATTTTTTTATTATAATTAGAACTTCTAGGGGCAAAAAAAGGGTGTGACCAATGTTTGCCAAGATGAGTCTGAGTTTTTTTTGTATCTAGTTGTCAATGACTTGGTAAAAATGACTTCAGAAAGAGCGTATCCTTAAATTGAAAATTTCGCGAAATGGTGTTGAACTAATGAATTTTTTCGGGGATTTGGTCATAAATTAATTTTTAACTATCGTTCAATTTTTAATTTTACAAATTTATTATTTTATATAAATAATAAATATATATTACTTTATCGAAAACTAATAAAAATAAGTTATTAGCTGTTTAGTAATGCTTTGAAGGTTTTATAAGAATAGATTATTTTCAAGTCTTTTGAAGAATATTTGTCCATCTTACAATTATGTGTTATATTCAAGAAGCAATTATGAAATATCGACCACATTAACGATACCATCTCTATAGAAAAAAATCGATCGATTTATTTAGAATTTGACAATGCGAAATCAAACCTTTTAAAGCAAATTTCCAAAAGTAATAAGACGTTCCGTTTATAGATTTTTTAATATAGTTTTACATAAGAAAAGCGAAGGATCTCTAGGTCACCAATTTACCAGCAATTTCAAGGAATGCTTTTACGTATCAAAAGATGTGAAAAGTCGGTCATTCAGTCGAATACTCGATCCTTTCATATCTATAAACTATTTCGTATATATAATTCGAAAAAAAATAGCTATCTTTTAAAGAGAAAATAGTATATTAACTAGGTCGTGGACATTTTCACAATGTCATGCCAAATAAAAGCTAAGATCGAATCACGTGAATAAAACAAGATTTATGCAAAAGTAACGTGATAATGAAATTTTATTAAATAATAACTAAATTTTTGACAAAGCATTTTCTGAGATTTCATTGAATATTTTATAAACAGCATAACTTTTGAAATATAGAGCTTAACTTGATAAAATAAGTTCATCTTATTTAAAATCTTATACTCTTTAAAAGGAAATTACGATCGAAATATTGAAATAGGTAAATATGTCTAAAAAAACCTGTTGTTAAAATAAAAATTAAAAAAAAAACAGTTGTCTTTACATTAAATTTTTTAACGAAATCGAATTATTGTAGATGGTTTAAGAAGCTCTGTAGCAAATACTTGATTCCTAGAAGAACTCTGTTGTTCGCATGCCAAGTCTTCGAATACAAAGGCTAACACCGATTGTATCGTATCGTTGTTGATGAAAGTAGTATTAAAGAAAAGTTGATCCTATTGAATTCATCATTCTAGAAGCTTGTTAAGTAGTGCAACTTTTAAAATACATTTTGAGTTAAACTTTGTTGATTATAAAATAAAACTCTTAAAACTATTAAAAACATTTCATTTAAGAGCATGCTGGTTAATGATAAAATTTAGCTTGAAAAACAAAAGAACTTTATTTTATTTAGCACAAATGATATTACAAGAAGGAAACTGCTATTGCAAGAACAAAGTTCAAATGAAATTGTTTTATCGGTTTTCAAATTAATCAACTTACAATAAATGAAGAAGGCTTATAATGTTGATCATTCAGAAAACACAATAATTTTATCAAACTGAAAACGTAAGCAGTTTACAATTGACCCCAAAACTATATGGCGGTGTTGCATAGATCACTACCTATTTTCAAAACTTATAAAACTACAAAAGCATGCATCTTTTGTTATGTTAAGAAATTAATTTGAAACGTCATATTAATAAATATTGAAGAATTACCACAATTAATTTAATCAAATATAATCTATGAGATAATTAATTCGTTACTCACAGGTAACTAACATTGAAAATGCAAGTAATTAATGAATATCATAAGTGAAAAATCTTGAATTTAATATTCAAGCAGTTCGTAGAATAATATGGATTCCACTGTCAGTGTCTGTTGGTTGTGAAATTTCGCCTACTTTGAGGGCAAAAGCAGCCTCCTCAAATGGCTTTTGCATAGCACCACGACAAAAGGGACCCAAATCTCCATTGCGCTTTGCAGAACTACAGTCACTGTATTTTCCAGCTAGGTCACCAAAATTTGCTTCTCCTGATACAATTTTTTCCCTGTAAGCTGTTTGCAACAATATTTCTTTAATTTTAATGAGTTATTTGGACAATATATCAAACACAGTTTTAGAATATTTAAAGGTCTAGCCGTAATATTTAAAAGCAAAGCGTGAATATGAATTAAAAACTATGAATGAAAATAATTTGTATGAATAATATTTAATTAATAACCAATATTAAAAACTGAATTTGATCAGAATATGAAACTCACATTTGACTAACTCTAAAGCTTCAGCTTTAGATCTGGTAATATTTTGTTCTCGCCAAGATGAGGGACGACGAGAGCCAGAATGCTTGACAAGTATATGTGAGCATTGAACCTCTTCAGTTGAAGGAGGTTCAGCTGCTTTCTCTGGTCTATCCCATTGGCTTTCTTTAGTATAGACATTCAAGTAATAATGTTGACCTACAAAATAAATAATATACCTACAATCTGACCTTGCATCTATAAATATAGAGGTATAAATATAATTATTGGAATTAATGTACATACCAGTAGAGCGGCTCAAACGCTTCTCCCAGCCAGAAGGTAATTCCTCATCACTCATGATTAAAATGTATGGAAACTCAAGGTTGCTTCAATATCAGTAATTTACTCCAATCTCCTATAGCCCTGCACACCCACACTTTCAAAATGTCCAAGTACTCTGAAATCAGTAAATCGACCGTTAATGAATATTCTACTATGGGCACTTAACAGACTACATGTCTCGCATATAAAAAAGTTTATCCTCTAATCATGGCTATCGCTGTAACTACAATCTAAACAAAACAAGTATAAGTCAATGGAAAATTACCAAGGAAGCAACGTGAGTTCAACGTGTGCGTACGAAAGGCATTAATGCATATTCGCTTGAACTCTGTTAAATCGTAATCTTACACTCACCTTTGACTTCCTATTTCATGTCTCAATTTACCCCAAAGATAAATTATCAAGCAGCCACTCTTTTATTTTGTAAATCACAAAAAATCTTGATTTTTTCTTATTCGCGAGAAATGCGAGCATATATTTCCATGCAGTTAGCACACCGGCACCTACACTACACCATAATCCTTGCGCGCCGAGCGCCACGCTCTCTCGTGAGGGGACGGGCATGCATCATATATGCGTGTACTTTCGTCGATAAAGAAGTACAAAGACGCCAGGTTATTTCTGTAATTCTGTTCTGTATAAAAATGTTTCTGTTCATAAAATAAGATTTTTAATTATTGCTCTACAAATATTATTTATTACTTTAAATTAAAACATGAATATTTATTATTATTTGATTAATAATAACCGACAATATCGTTGATAGATATTAGTAATAACAGATAATATTTATTGGTTACATGTGAAAGTCGCATCTTGAAATTTAGCGCGTTTCAGCAGACAATTTTTTTTCTAATTGTCAACAAAATTATATATCACACTACGCGTACACATTGGCGGTGTTCTGTTATTATTACTTTTGATGCTACAAGAAATGAAGTTTTACTAAACTTCAAGAGAATAACTCAAATATATCAGCTTTTACATACTAAATCACCGATTTCATCAGGATTGACAAAACGTGAATTGACCCTTTGCGAATAGTGTATGATTACTAATGCGTTGAGTTTGATAATGATACTCGCACAAATGATAAATTATCAAGTTAAATATAGTTTTTAGTTTGTATTTTCAAATGTGATCGATAGAAAAATGTTTAACAGTTCATGACAGCCGATTGTAATCTATTCCAGAAGCACTAAATTTTTTGTTACCAATGTGTCAAAAAGAAGAGTCAATCATTGAGAAATTCAATACTGACCTTCACCTTTCCTATACAAATTCCTCACTTGCTGCATCAGCAATCAGGCACTTACTAGACAATGGAGCAAGTCTCAAAGTTAAAGACAAAAATGGAAATAGTTTGTTACACTTAGCAGTAAAGAATGACATCAAAGATGTAGTTAACTTACTTCTACACAGAGGAGCTCCTGTGAATGATCAGAATGAAAATGGTAGAACACCTTTGCATATAGCTGTCGAATGGGGAAGAGAAGAAAACATAAAGCTTCTTTTGAAAAATGGGGCAAATATCAATGCCAAGGGTAAAGACGGTAGAACAGCTCTTCATCTTGTTGTTTGGAAAGATGTTTACTTTTATGGCAAAAAGATTGTTGGAAGATTTGACAAAATTACAAAATTACTACTTAGAAAAGGATCTCATATTGATGAATGCGACAATATCCAACAAACTGCCCTTTTCACTGCTGTTATTGCAAAAAAAGTTCAAACTGTACAGTTACTTCTGAACAATGGGTCTAAAATTAATAGAACAGATCATTGTAGTATGACTCCACTTCATTATGCTGTTATTTCTGGTAATAAAGATATTGTGAAAATCCTTTTGGATAGAGGAGCAGATATCTTAGCAAAGGATAATGTTGGAAGTAGTCCACTTCATTTTGCAGTTGAACGTAACAATGTAGAGATAGCAAAGTTTCTATTGGAAAAAGGATCAATTATTGATGATATAAGAAGAGATCGTTACACAGCTTTACACATTGCAGTAGATCTTGGGAAAGAAGACAGTATTATACTTTTATTGAATGAAAATACGAATGTTAATGCAAAAGAAGAAAGTGGCAAAACTTCATTACACTTAGTTGTAAGAAAATGTTTGCAAGGTAGTACCAAAGAAGAGGTTCAAAAATTCAAAAGAATAGCAAAAATGCTCTTGATAAAAGGAGTCAACATTGAAAGGTAATAGATTTAATTTTTAATATTTTAATTTATGAATTACAAAATCATAATGTATTTTTGCAGTGTTACAGATACTGGTCAGACTGCATTGCATACTGCTGTATTAGCACGTAATAAAGTAATGGTAAAATTATTATTAGAGCATGGGGCAAGCATTAACAGTAAAAATAATTATGGAGAGACACCACTTTACTGTGCTGTAAAGTCAAAAAGTGATAGAGTACTTCTTTTTCTACTGAAAAAAGGTGCAGAGGTAAATGTGAAAAGAAATGATGGCAGAACAGTTTTACATGCGGCTGTTGAAACAGAAGACATGAATATAATTTATATTCTTTTAGAACATCATGCAGATATAAATATTAAAAATGATCAAGGTAAAACACCCCTATCACTTGCTATTATGACAGTAAATTATACCTGGCTGTCCGAATTGTTAGCAATGTATTTGGCAAAATTAACTACTAAACAAATATGTGAAGAAAATTTAAAATTGCTTATAAGTAGTGAAAAATTAAATACATTTTATAATAGCTGTCTACTAGAAATCAATAACATGAAGCAGCATAAAATTTGTTATAAAATAACAATTTATAATGTTCTAAGTAAACCTGAGAGAAACTTAGGAGCATATGCAAGAAGTCAAAACTTAGTTAGATTTTTTAAATCTAATGAATATAAACTGCAATATCCAATTTATTGTACAATTTTAAGAGAACGATTTTACAAAGGCTTAGAGAGAAAAGAACTATTAGATCTAGTAGAATATTCCTTGAATTTTTTGTGGAAGTATTTTAATCTGAGTGATCCTTTGATACAACATATTTTGTATTACTTAAGCTTTGAAGACTTGCAATTTATGGCAACGTCTATTTAGAATGAAAAATAATATTGTAAATGAATCATTATCAAATTATTATTAGATAGTTATGAGAAATATAAATATTCTAATCTATAATTCATTTGATTTTTTCAAATAATTCTATTTACAATTATCTGCTATAATTAAAAGACCATGTGTATATTTTTGTAATAAAAAATATATTTGTTTGAAAAATATTTATAATTATTTATTATTTTTTACTTTTATATTTATTCATGATTTTTTATTGAAAAATAAGTAACAAATTCGTTTTCATTTTTCTATGTTGCTCAGCTATATTTTAGGCATGATGATTGACGAAGTAACGGTATTATGACGTCAACAAACAGCGCGGGCTGCCTAGCAATTGTTTATCCGTTTTCGTTGAGCAAAGTAGCTCTCACAAAGACAATGATTATTTATTAATGTATGTGGTTTTTGTCAGTATAAATGTGTGTATAAATTATTTTATAAGATTCAAGACAATGTTCATTGATAAAGCTGATAATTGATTTCAGTATTAACGTGTAATAACAAAAATAAGAAATTTATTTTATAGGTTAGACTAATGAGATAATGTAAGTTTTGTTTATATACTTTTTGTTTGTTTGTAAATTTTTAAGTAGTATCGAATAAAAGTAACTATTCAATCGCTAATCATTGTATTTTTAATAATTACATTTTATTATCTATGTAGAGAAAAATATGTGTACATAGGAAAAGTTCAGTGATACTTTGCAAATAGATTTTGTTTACAAAAAACAAAGATGAGTGATACAGAGCCAATGTATGGGACAACATTGTCCACAGAGTCTATGAAAGTTATTGCAGAGAGTATTGGTGTAGGTAATTTGCCAGATGAAGCTGCAAAAGATTTAGCAGAAGATGTTAGTTATAGGTTAAAGGAAATCATACAGGTAATAAAATAAAATATTGCACATAGAACAATTATATATCTAGGTGAGTGTTCATTAATTAAATTTGAAGTTGATTATATTCCCTGTATTGTTGTAGGATGCTACTAAATTTATGAGGCAAGGAAGACGACAGAAACTTACAACACACGATGTTGATCATGCCTTAAAAGCAAAAAACATTGAGCCAACTTATGGCTTTTTTGCCAAAGATCACATTCCATTTCGTTTTGCATCTGGTGGTGGTAGGGAATTACACTTTATAGAAGAAAAAGAGATTGACTTAAACGAGATCATTGGTATGGCTGGTGGTGCTAACTGGCCAAAATTACCTTTAGATACTAATTTGCGTGCTCATTGGTTGTGCATTGATGGCATTCAGCCAACAATTCCAGAAAATCCTCCACCTGTTACTAAGGGTAAGATATCAAATTGAATATTTTGTTATAACAAAAAATATTTTTGCTAAACTTTTCCCTCATGTGTACCAGAAATACAAAAATTAGAAAGTGTGGATCCTATAAGTAATAGAAATCCTAATTCAAACATTGGTAAACCTGGTGGCAAGAGTCATAAACTACGTAATGTTGAGACTGTACATGTGAAACAATTAGCAACACACGAACTGAGTGTTGAACAACAATTATATTATAAGGAAATCACAGAGGCTTGTGTAGGTTCTGATGAAGCAAGAAGGGTGGAAGCTTTCCAATCACTCTCTGCTGATCCAGGTCTTCATGAAATGTTAGCAAGGATGTGTACATTTATAGCTGAAGGTGTAAGAATCAATGTTGTCCAAAATAATCTAGCAATTCTTATTTATCTAATGCGTATGGTAAAAGCATTACTTGATAACCCAAGTCTCTATTTGGAAAAATACGTAAGTCTCGTCTAATATAAAATGTTACTACCTGAAAAATATTAACTACAATGGAAAACAATTTACATTGTTCAGTTACACGAACTCATACCATCAGTCACCACCTGCATTGTATCCAAGCAATTGTGCTCTCGACCAGAAGCGGATAACCACTGGGCTTTGCGTGATTTTGCTTCGCGTCTTATGGCGCAAATTTGTAAAAATTTCAATACGTCTACAAATAATATACAGACGAGAGTTACGAGAATGTTCAGTCAAGCACTGACAAAGAGTAATCAAGTAAGAATTTTCTTTATCAATCTTAATTAGCTCTAAGCTTTGTTTACATTCTAATAAACGTTTTGCAGACGCCATTAGCTACGGTATATGGTGCAATGCACGGACTTTGTGAATTGGGTCCAGAAGTGATAAAAGCCTTAGTTCTTCCTAAAATAAAGTTACTGTCAGAGCGCATCGAGGCGAGCATTGATGGGCCAAATGCCACTAATATAACTAAGGATGCTGCTGGTCACATAAAAACACATATTATCGTCAGTTAGCAATATCATAATATATATATTTTCGCTTAAACATTTCAACTAACACCGAAAATAAATGTATAAATACTTTGCAGAAATCGTTAGCTCCAGTGATAAAGACTCTTCGATCTCCTCCAGATATCGTAGAAGAATACAAACAAGATTACGGATATATAGGTCCAGCGTTGTGCACAGCTGTAGCTAAAGCTCGTACTCAAATAATACCGTCAACCCCGGCTACCTCCGTGACTATCGCCAATAACACCAATCAACAGGGCACCGTTAATGCTGGTAAAATAATGTCACAAGGTACATCAGATCTATATTGATGTGCTTTGTTTTTTAAGTTTTTTTCGATTCAATGCTTTATTTAATCATATATTGTTGTAAAATTATGAATAAATATTCGTCGCGCTTATTTCAAACTTGTGTGCTATCGCTATTCAGTCAGATTTATATTTTTAATACGCAAAAAATATTCAAAGCGAAATATCATTAGTTAATTATTCATTTCATTATTTAAGGAGCGTATTCCATGTGTTCAAACAAATTTATGCATTTATGTGAGTGTTGAAGACAAAAGCATATTTGTAATGTCATATATAGTGAGACTGCCTTTAAAATATTAAACTAATATTTTAAACCCAGACTAAAATACAGCGAATTCTATCATAAAATACCTTAAAATAATAGAAAACTAAACAATGAATAAAAATGTTAATCAAATGTATAAAACAAAAATATCGGATTCAACAATAATTTTGTAATATTAAGAAAATTATTTTTTAAATAAACTATAACGTAAATATAAATATTAAAAAATTATTAATAATGTAAAATAGCTTTACAAATCTTGTCAAGAATTTTATTTAATAAACAAAACTTTAAAACTAATGTGTGTGAATAATAAAGTAATATCCAAAAATACTATCATCTTTAACTCGAGTATTTTAAAAATATATCTTCAATGTTATAACAAATCCGTGCTTTGACGGTATAATATCCGTTTAAATAAATACATGATGCTAACACTTTTTGTGACAACAGTCAATAAAAATAAAATTTAATATAAATAGAGATATGCATAATTAATCAATTAAAACCCATTCCATCCAGTTTGCAAAATAAGTCATTGTAAGTTTGTCTGACTTATACGAAAATAAATTCATACTCCGTTTAATTTTTTTAGTTGTAATTGGAACGAACAGAAACACCGCAGTACCAACAACAAGCGGAGGTCAAAAATATGTGATTGTACAGCAAAGATCGCAAACTCCAACGAGTCAACAGCAACAAGTGCAAGTACAACAAGTACAGGTGCAGCCAAAACCTGCCCAAGCTACGAAACTTGTCGTCGTATGTATGCCTTCGGCAAGTCACGCACAAACTACAGTCACGCAGGTATGCTAGCAGGAATAAATTATTCAAATTTTTGTAATATTATTTTGTTTTATTCAATTATTAAGTAACTTGATACATATTCCGATTCGCTTGATAATTTTTTCAAAAAATGTTGTTTTCTTAACTTACTATTATCATTTATAATTACATTGTTCTCGAAGAAGAATACTGCAAAACCGTAATCGTACATTATAATTTCCTGGAGATTTTAGCATTCCAATATACATATATCCTATTAACGAGAAAATATTTTTAATTCCAGTCGAATCTGTCGTCGAAACCACAAGTTTTCGTCACGCAAAGTAGTGTTGATCAGTTTTCAAATAAAATGGAAGAATGATACACGGCGAAACTTTATGGAATAAATTATTCTTGTACAAGATCTTTGCTACACAGATGATAATTAATCATCGACGAATTCTACACTTAAATTATAAATATCCTATCTAACACAAAAGGCAAAAAAGAATCATGTCACTTAATTTTGTATGTACAGTCTTTGTATAATTTAAAAATCTTTTTCGAATGTGTCACTTTAAAAGTTGTTTTGTTTTTTTTATCGAAAAAAAATATATAATATGATGTACATATAATGGTCGGTTTACGTTATTTCTATAATCGAGTGTAGGAATTTTCCGATTCGAGAGTCAACGTACTGTCCGTTGTCGACTCGTCGTTGATGTCAAGACTACGCTGTTGTACGTTCTGCAAACAAGCTTCTTCGGCGAGTTTCGCCAACCTTTTGGACATCTCTTTTCCCGTTTGGTTAACCATCGTTGAAAAGGGGCCGTTTGGATTATCCGTCAAAAGATCATGCGGGCATCCAAATTCCTAGATGAAAAATTATAAAATTGTTGTCATATCAATTTCTAATTCATTTGTACTCTAGTTGATAATTTTAAAATTCAAGTAAAAAATACATTATGGATAAACGCAATCGTGTACGTTAAAAGTATAATAAACTTTAAGAAAACTTAGATAAATGTTGAAATAACAGACAATTTAAGGTTTGCATAAATGTGCGTTAGAATATCGTAATACATATTCACATACCACTATAGAACCAGCATCCATGACGATTATCCTATCGCTGTCGATAATAGTGTTCAGCCTGTGAGCTACCGTCAATACTGTGCATTTCGCAAACCTCTTTCGTATCGTATTTTGTATAATAGTATCAGTGCTGTAATTGAATATTATAATATTAAGTTTGTTATATATTAATCCGATTTTGTTTATAGAATTCCAAATGGACGTTGTCCTAGATTTCAATATATTTCTAAATTAATTAGTATTATATATTTACAGAAAAATAACGGTTTTAATGTACAGTTACTAAATCGCTTACAAAAGAATGAAATCGCTAATTATTCAGAGCAACTGGTGATCGTCATGAAGTATTCTTTTCTATACATATGCAGCTTAAAAAAATCCAATAAAACTATTACTAACTTTCTTAATTAGCTGTTCTGTCACCGATAACCATTTGAATGACAAAGTAATCTTTTGACTGTTAATAATTAAAGACATTTCCTTCTAAAAAAACTTAAATGAATAAATGGTCACAGTTTTTATCATTAAGATATCCTGGCGGCATTTATATGGTTTTCTAGGCGTCCTGCCTAGAATTCAAGGCTTGTATATTCCAAGATAGTTATGCGTATTTTTTTTCGATCGAGTATAGTTACATTCAAATTAACCTCGTGAAAATAACAATTAAAGTCAGCTAACTCATGAATATACGATTATTCCAATCGCGAACGCGAGTCTCCCGTCGCCCTCGATCTTTGCTGTTATCTTGTCTAAATCAAAATTGCATTGTCGTGAGCATTGAGAAGAAAACAATTACAAATAATCTCGAAGGCTTGTGTAATTGCAGCAGTTATCGTAGAGGAGAGATTTCAATTGGTTGATCGGACTGTAATAACAATAAATCTGCGGAACGCTTAAGTATATCAATCACGCCTTAAACTGTTATTAAGATTACTTCATTGCCTTAGCAAATTAAACAGTTTTTTGAATATTTTGCTTTTTATGTTATTTTATGCAAATACAAGTGAAACTAATTGACGTTTTTCGAATTAATTATGCCTTTCTAACATTACGATTATTGCAGCTATTCAGATTGAAAAAATGCATCACAATTGTAACTTATAGCATCTTCTTGCATCAGCGAGTAAATACGAACTCGCTCAGTAAAAAAAGATATTACCAAGTCTTACCATATTCGTTTGTAGCTACTCAATTTTTTATTGAAAGCAACTATTACTATCAACTGACGTTCACCGATAGAACGAATACAAATTTTTTTTTTCTCGTATAGCAAGCCTGATTAAGTAACGTAAGTCAGCCTGATTTTGACGTAGCTGTACATAGCATCAATCAAATTAATTTAAAGAAAAGAAAATTGACTTCCGAAATTACTACTACGTATACAGGAAAAAACCTTCGCATAATAGTATACTGACTGGGTGTCGATGTTTGCGGTGGCCTCGTCGAGTACGAGTATCGAGTTCTGACGAATGATTGCTCGTGCAAGACATATTAACTGTCGTTGACCAACGCTGAAATTACTACCCTTCTCGGCAACTTGCTGATCCAACGACAACTCGTTCAACTCTACCTCGCGCAATGCCTGCCACAATGTCGTGTCGTCATATTGGCCGAATGGATCCAGATTGTAACGAAGACTTTGCGAGAATAGTACCGGTTCCTGTCGATCACACAAGTCACAATGAAAACAATTGTCGTGTGCAGAACATTTTTCTGAATTGAAGGATTAGAAAATCGCAAATAATGAAATTTCTTGTTTTCAAAAAAATGAAAAAGAGATTTTTTTATTTGAATAATTCGTAAAAGAATGTTCCTTAGCAAAGCTGAATCTTGAAAAATTCTCTCGAAGCAAGAACACTGTTCTTGCTATGAAAAATGTGATTTAGAAATGATGTAAATAATGGATAAAACGCGTACGTACCTGAGGAATGATCGAGATCCGCGTACGTAGATCGCGTAGTCCGATATGGGAGGTGTCAATTCCGTCGATAATGATCTCGCCTTCAAGATTAGCGCCGGTCAAGCGGAATAACGCTTGGATTATCGATGACTTGCCAGCTCCGGTTCTGCCAACGATGCCAACCTTCCAGCCTGGCATCACCGTTATGTTGAGATTCTGCAAAGCACTCGGTTGATCACTCTCCATTCACGCGATTGTATTCTCACTGCTCTCACCTTCAGTACGTACGGCTGATTGCTGTCGTAACGCATGGAAACTGCGTGGAAGACAATGCGTCCGCGCTTCGGCCAAGCGTCCGGCAGTGGAGTCGGCGAAGTCAACGGATACTCTTTGGGAAGATTGGTGTATTGGGCGATTCTCTCGACCGAGGCCAGCTGAGAGACAACCTCGATGAACAATCGAAATCCATACTGCACCATGCCGGTGAGAATCATCGCTTGGGATAAGGCCAGACCAACGTTACCGCCGAGCATGTCGCCTATCAAGACGATCGTTTTTACGCCAAGACTGTGCATAATAATAATGATAATGATCGACGATGATCGATCCAAGTACCTTACCCGCATTGCCTCCTATGAAACTGAAAGCAACGACAGCCTGGAACGCCACGAGTAGAACGTCGAGAAACAATCCGAACGATATCGACGTGATGATGCTCAAGAACCATGCGCCCGAATGTTCATCTTGATAGCGATCGAATTCACGAATCAGTTTCTCTTGTATGTCCGGACCATAACTGTGTATTGTCGTCAGTCCGTTGAGAGATGCGTTCACGTGCGTAAATACAGGACTTTTAGCTTCAAAAAATGAAAGCGAAAATAAAAAAACCAACAAAGTCATCGTTATTCCCTCGAAATTCTTCAAGCAGGAATATAACAAGTGAACTTACCGGCAGTTTCCAATCGTTTGATCTTCTGAGCGCAATTCAGATAAATCTTCTTGGAAATATAGAACAACGCCATAACTAAGGCGATCGGTATTATCATCCAGTAATTTACGGTGACGATCACCACAAGAATGCCAATCATCACGGAAAATATTTGCACAGCCTCGGTAAAATTACGCGATAGTAGCTCGTCCATTGCACCAACGTCCTTTGAAAAGCGATTCAATATACGACCTACGAGATTCATTATTTTTTTTCAATTGAACGATCGTTAGTCCCGTGCGACATGAGATTTGACGCAAAACTTCACGAAGTAAATATAAATCTAGGTACAATACAATCTGATGTATCGTTTGAATATAAAAAAGTTGTTTTTTAGGTAAAAAATAATGCCGACTTACCGGATGGATTACTGTTAAAGAAGTTCATAGTGGTCTCGAGTAAATTGGAAAACATGCTAAAATGCAGATTAGCGCTCGACTTCATGCATATCTTGATGACCAGATAGTTCCTCAGCGAGCACAAAATCACGCAAGTTATCAAAATCCCAGCGTAGATGTAAATGCAGTCGTAGGTCGACAACAATTCCACGTCTTCGTCGTACAGCTTCTCGCCCGTTCCGGAGTACGAGAAATACGCTTGTCTGCTCTTATTGTCTGCTCAAACGAATAGTCGAATTATTGTCCAGCTCGATTTTGGGACAATTGACCAACTAACCATCGTCCCGAGTGATCGACTGGTTGCGAAGTTTTTCGCGAAACATCTCGACGTTAGTCCAGTAACCAAGCCAATAGTCGACGCCGCTGGTGGATACTTGAGTGACTATCAAGACCAAAACGTAGAAGGCGACGAGGAACCACGAGGCACCAGCTCGAAAGTAAATTTTGAATAATTCGAGGTTGCCGTGAGCAAAACTTGTGTCTTCTTCGTTAGAGCTTGTCGTTGTTGCTGCGCTACCTGCACTTTCGGATACCTAGAGTCGTTTTTTCATATTACATATTGATAGTCCGCAATAACCTCGGCAAATATTTTCCTTTCTCCTATTTAAAGTTTGCTTATTTTTTTTAATACTGTACTTTGAGTCGCTCTATTGTCGAGCTCAAAATTCTCAATGGGTGTACTTTGCCACATAATAAACAACTTCACGCATGCAGTAGAAGAAATATTAATTTGTCGAAAAGACGCATTAATTAGAAAAAATGGAAAAAATATTTCATGAAAATAGTCTGAACTTAGATATAGCATGCCGAAAGATACGATGAATAAAATGTTCAGCCCTCTACGGCTTTCTCGAGTCTGGGTGAAATTTCATAAGTGCACTCTCTCTTCCTAGAAAATATTGTCAAATAATAGTCTTTTCTGAAAAAAGAAGAAAACACGCGAAATAGATATCTCCGAATTGACACGTATTACGTATATTGTAGAGCATTATCAATATCATTGATATTATAACGAAGAGATCCATGGTTTTACTTGATTCCTAAAGCTTATCTTGT